ATACACCATGGAATACTACTCAGTCATTAAAAGGAACAAAATAATGTCTTTTACAGCAAAGTGGGTGATGGTGGAGGCCATTATTCTGAGTAAGGTTACTCAGGAATGGAAAAGTAAACATCATATGTTCTCACTTACACATGGAAGTTAAGCTATGAGGATGCAAAGGCATAAGAGTGATACAATGAACTTTGCGGGACTTGAGGGGTGAAGGTTGGATGAGGGTGGAGAGGGATTACATATTGGGTATAGTGTATATTGCGTAGGTGATAAATGCACTAAAATCTGATCTAAATGCCACTAAAGAATCTATCCTTGTAACCAAAATCCACCTGTACCCCAAAAAACTATAAAGAAATAAGCCTTGGCCGGGCGCAGTGGCTCAAGCCTATAATCCCAGCACTTTGGGAGGCTGAGGCGGGTGGATCATGAGGTCAAGAGATCAAGACCATCCCGGTCAACATAGTGAAACCCCATCTCTACTAAAAATACAAAAAATTAGCTGGGCATGGTGGCGCGTGCCTGTAATCCCAGCTACTCAGGAGGCTGAGGCAGGAGAATTGCCTGAACCCAGGAGGCGGAGGTTGCGGTGAGCTGAAATCGCACCATTGCACTCCAACCTGGGTAACAAGAGCAAAACTCTGTCTCAAAAAAAAAAAAAAAAAGAAAGAAAGAAGCCTTTAAGTCAGAAAAGAAAAAAGATCCCTGAACTGATGATACCACATTAAGGTAAGGGTAAGGATATGATAAACATCCTGCACAGATTTGGAAAGTATGAATTCTTAGAGTCTTTTAGCAATACAATTTAGAAATATCTAACAAGTTGTGAAATACATATATCATTAAATCCAGTAACATCATTTCTAGGAAGGGACTCTACAGACATTGCATATCTATACACACATGCACTAATGAAGTGCACAAAATGACACATACCGTGTATTTACGTTGCAGCTTTGTTTATAATAAAAAATGGATGTAACTAAAGCATGTATTAACAGGAAATTTTTAAATTAAATGATGTACAATCATACAATGGAAAATGGTTTTAAAAAAGGTGGTAGTGATGTACTAGAATATACACACAATACGTTTAATTAACAAAACATACAATGCAGTGTATTGCACATAGTGTGATCCCACTATTATAAAAAATAATGAAAATAGCAGACGTTAGCCGTTATCATACACGAATTACATCTGAGAGTAAGTTGATAGGCTAGAGTAAGCCTTCGGTAAAAATGCAAACTCTATCAGTGTGATAGAGTTAAAACTGTCATTGCTCTAGGTACTGTAGAAACCCATCTGCTCTGATTAGCCATAAGAATTTTCAACAGGAGAATGAGAACAAACAATAAAAACGATTTATTGGTACCAGATTCTGAAAATGTTTCACACTCACATACTGTTAGATTTACAATGTTGACCAAATATATTAGACATATCTTATATATACACATACATACTGTTCACATGCTCATAAACCAAAAGACAAAAACTGAAAGAAATTTATAACATTTCAATACCACAAATCAGTATTTCTATATGTAAAATATAACCAAATATACCAAGGTGCTTAGTGATGTCCATTTACTTACCTCATTTCTTTATCAACTATTGATGGCAGCAGCTACTCCAGAGAACCTGCGACTGCCATCACGCTGGCTGCAGCAGGGAGGCATGGCTGGGGCTGCATGCTCCATGGAGTGTGTGGGTGTCAGGCCAAGTGGGAGCCTGGCCTTTTCTGAGTTGAGGCAGTAGCTCCCCTGGTGCACTGCAGCCATTCAAAACACAGCTACAGACCGGGGCCTCCCAGGCCACACCTCCTCCATTGAGCAGGCAGGAGCCGCTGCCTTCCATTTCCCCACACAGCTGCAGTAGCCCAAACCATGGCTGCACACCCAGGCATCCCTGCATCCTTGGGGGCCCAGAAAGGGCCCCTGCCCTCACAGGCTCAGAAGTGCCTGCTCCCACTTTCTGGCTTCTCCCTGCTGTTTGCACCCACTCTCATCTTGCAGCAAAGTCCAGGCTGAGCCTGGGTGCCATGAACAGCAGTGGGAGGTGGATGCCTGGTGAGGATGGGGAGGACCAGCAGCAGAGAGGAGCTACCCACTCTAGGGCCTCCTTTCTGCTGTGCACTTTAGAGACTTGCAAGGACACCAGGACTATCAGCTGCAGAAAGGAGCAACCCACACCAGGGCCTCCTCTCTGCTTGGAGCTGGGGAGATGACGAGAGGGCCTGCCTGCAGAGAAGAGCAACCCATTCCAAGGCCTCCTATCTGTTAGGAACTGGGAAGATAACAGGACCACCTGCCTGCAGAGAGGAGCTTCCCACTCCGGGGTCCCCCCTTTGCTAGGAGCTAAACACTTGGGACACCCTGACTGCAAAAAGGAGCTACCCCTGTGGGTCTCCTGTGAGCTATTCTATTGCTCAAACTCTTCATCTTGGCTCACCCTCCACTTCTCTGTGTACCTCATCAGTCCTGTTCACAGAAGAACTTGGGACCTGCCAAATGGCAAAGGTAAAAGAGCTATAACACAAACAGGGCTAAAACATGGCCATTGTTCACCATGTTGCAGTCAAAGGAATGAATAGCTGCAGCCCCTGAAGGAGCCCAGACCTGGGAGCTCCCTCAACCAGGGCTGTGACTTCATCTTTGGGGTCCTGCAGAGTCCAGCATCTTCAAGCTGCTGGGTGCCACATAATTCCTAGTGCCAGCCAGGGAAGCTGCTTGTGGTGTGTCTGGGCCTGCCACAGCCTTGCAGAGAGCGGGCACCTGTGCCAGCACCCAAAGCTGCCTGCCCTGCTGCAGTAGCCAGCATGTCTGGCTGCACGATGGCCGGATCCCACGCTCACACACCCCTCGCCACTCCATGCCTGATCTGCCCTTGGCAGGCGTGGGATCCAGGCTGGTAGCATGAGAAAAGTGCAGCCTGCCAGGCCAAGTGGGTCGAATGAGCCCGGCAAGAACAAGAAAACTCAGGAAAAGGTGCCACCGGCCAGAGGTTTCAGGCCAGAAAAACAACACTCTAAAGATCCTGTAACACTATTACCTACAACTACTCAGGTGTTTTTATAGAAGTAAAATACATTTTTATGACAAATTCAGCATTCTATTTTTCCATCTTCTAAAAATAAAAACAGGCACAGACATCGAAATACTAAGAGTTGGCAAACTTTTTTTTTCTACTTCGCACTTTTAAGTTTATTGAAACAACTGCTGTTGCTTCTGAGTCTGCAGCTACTTTGCATTTCGGATGTGAATCTATAGCAAAGATTACTCATTTAAGTAGGTATTTTGTTTGTTTGCTTTGTTTCTTTAACTAAGAGCAATAAGAGGCAAGTTCTCTGGATTTTGTGAAGCTATCTTTGTTCCTCTGGCCCCCTCCCCATTCCCTCATCCCTTTCTTCAGCCTGAGGACATTCTACCAGTGAGTCTGTATGGGTTGGGGGTGGGGCAGTTGCTGAATCATAATTAGGAAGAGTTCATATGAGTAATATCTCTGTTTAACAGTTATTCACCATAAAGTTACTAAACGCATTCAAATTTGCTTCACTGCATTATTGCATATTGAAAATACAAGATGAAGGCAAACAGCATATGTAGACATTTTACACTGCAAGACAATGAATGCTTGTTTTAAATCTCTGGAGATGGTTTTGTCTGGCTTTGTCCCCACCCAGATCTTATCTCAAATTGTAATCCCTACAATGCCCATGTGTTGAGGGAGGGACCCAGTGGGAGGTGACTGGATCATGGAGGTGGCTTCTCCGATGCTGTTCTCATGATAGTGAGTTCTCATGAGATCTGATGGTTTCATGTGTGTTTGACAGGTCTTCACAGGCACTCTCTTGCCTGCTGCCATGTAAGACATGCCTTGCTTCCCCTTGGCTGTCAGCCATCCGCCATGATTACAAGTCTCCTGAGTCCTCCCCAGACACGCTGAACTGTGAGTCAATTAAACCTCTTTCCTTTATAAATTACCCAGCGTCGGGTAGTCTCTTTATAGCATTGTGAGAACAGTGTAATACAGGGGATACTTGGTCAGGTTAAGAAAATGAAGAAATAGGTTAAAATAAGAGGAAAAATTAAAAAGATTTCCCTATTTATGGTGGTGTAAGAACTTATAATACACTACCAACACAGGATCTGTCTGGGTTTTGAAAAATTCCAAAAATGATTACAACTGTTTTTTTTTTCCTGAAAAGCATTCCTATCTGAGAGCTGTGGGACCAAGTAAATGACTATTCCATCTATTTCTGCATTCTGATGTAATGACAAGGTACATTCCTTTAATATTATTATTTTTGAGATGGAATCTTGCTCTGTTGTCAGGCTGGAGTGCAGTGGCGTGATCTCAGCTCACTGCAACCTCCACCTCTTAGGTTCAAGCAATTCCCTGGCCTCAGGCTCCCGAGTAGCTGAGACTACAGGTATGTGCCACCACACCCGGCTAATTTTTGCATTTTAGCAGAGATGGGGTTTCACTATGTTGGCCAGGATGGCCTTGATCTCCTGACCTCATGATCTGCCCACCTCGGCCTCCCAAAGTGCTGAGACTACAGGCGTGAGCCACCGTGCCTGGCTCTCCTTTAATATTCTTAACCCAGTATATACATTTAAATCAAGCCCCAAGCTTTTCACCTATATTACAAATAATAAATAGTGCATGTAAAATTTCCTATGTATTAGGCAAACAAAAACATCCTATTAAAGTGTGCATAATAACCTTATCTATAACTATCAATCATACAATAAAGTATTTTCTCTTGGTTAAAGAAAAGTTACAATTTTCCCCAAAAGTAATAGCTCTAGGTAGGTAAGTTTTTTCTTTATATTTGAAACAAAAACATTCTTCCTTTTCCCTTTTTTTCAATAGGCTTGCCATCAAAATATAATAAAGGTGATTATTTCAGTGCCAGGTACCTCAAGGTAGCACTTGTTACACACATTTAAAGAAATGCCTAAACAATGAAGCAATTTCAGAGAATGACTTACCCTCCCTTAATGTAGTCGAGGAATGAAACTTCTGTTTCTACCAAGAAAGAGAGTAAAGTTACCTGAAAAAGAAAAAGACAAAATTACCTTCTAGTAGTTTGTAACCCCAAATAGACTCTTTTCTATTAGAGAGAAAAATCACATTTCTTTGCATTTTGAAAATCACTAAAGACATTATTTTTTATTAACATCTGCTAGGACTGATTGTCCTTACATTTAAAATTATCTGAAGGAAAGGGACCAAAAAAAATTAACCAATGTCTTTCCATGACCAGTTTACTTCCTTTGAAGAACAGCATGAAAATTATCTACAAGGACATTGTGTTATTTCCCATTGTAGATAAAAGGAAAGATGAAAGGGAGTTAAAATCACAAAACCAAAATCAGTGGGCAAAGCCTTCAAGACGAAATGTGTGTTTTCAGTCATGTTTCTGTAAAGAGCCCATCTAATATTTTAACTGTCTTGCTTTATACAGACATAACTTAGAAAGAAAACAGAAAAAACTTAGATTTTGCTTCTCCCCAAAAAAGTTAATCTGAAGTAAAAACTCTGCAGTACATTTTTGCTTAAAATACTGATTTTTTATGATTGATACTTCCATCTTTCTACCCTTCTGTACTGATTTAGCACATCATTCCCACAGAGTTGTCAATTGTAATGACAACTTTTTTTAATGAGCACATACACATACCATGAAATGAGTCTTACTTATTAAGTACAGCCTGTAAAGAGTATAGTATTTCTTACTTCCACTTATATTTTTTTTATGTCTGCCTGATTCACTCTACTCTGATTCCACTGAATGAGTAGTTCATAAAACAACCTTCAGCCTCCTTCAGAGGCCTTGCAGCCCCTAAAATAATCTGCAAGAAGCCAAGTCACTACCTTCTATCAGGTATTCTCCATTACAATCAGTCCCTTGGGAAGTTGATTTTTCTATTATGTTTCTTCATATTAAAACACTAAGTGAAACACAGCTCAGATTTTTCAATCGCTTCCAGTAGGATTAAAGATGCCATATACATATATGCTTATTCATTTATTTTAATCTTTAAAAAATAACATAAAATTTGACTTACTGTTCCAGAATTAGTGTATTTTTTCTTTTTTCCTTTCTTTTTGGGATTCACCACCTTAAAAAGCAGACAAAACAATTAAAATGTGTTAGGGTTTATACTGACTTAGAAAACATTTGTAGTTCAACTTGCTGCCTTCACTTCTTATGCATGTATTCATTTACAAATGCTTTCAGTATGACTTTGGACAGTCATTCAGCCAAAACTTCTCTGCAAAGGTTAATACTGACTATCTTTAAAAAAAAAATGTTTTGCCTGTAATATTCTTCTCACCTGTACATATCAATTACCCTTAATTGTGATCATCTTCTTGATATGATAGAGACCTTTAACATCTAATGTCCTAACTAATGAATGCTTTATAGAAAAATGATGGGTTGTTAAAGTATATTCAAATGACATAACTTTAAATATTAGATTAAATACACAAACATAGCAAATCATCCAATGTGTGAATATTTAAAGGATCTGTTGACCTAACTATTGCTTTATAATGATAGTAATTTCCACCAGTTACCAATGCTACATAGTAATTGGTAAATGTCTGGTTTGTGGATATAAGATTGGCCTTTTGACTATTTGTTCCATTCATAAATTTGACTGCACTTCTATGTTTTATAAAACATTAGGGGATATAGGAAATATTAAGATAAGTAAGACCTGCCAATCTAATAGGATAAATATAATACATAATTGCCTGAAGAGAGACTTCTTCAGATCATCTCAATCCAAAACACGGGGAAAGCATTTGACAGGAAAAGATGATGAAATAATTTGTAAATAAGTATTAATTGAACCATAATTTATTACCTTAACCAGGGCTTCAATTTTTTAAAAAAATCAATAAATACACCATTCTACAAAGAAGAAAAAGCAACTGATCCAGGTTGGCTGGGGTAGACCGCCCACACAACCAGGACCGAAGTGAATCTGAAAAAATAAGCTGAGGCCATGTTAAGATCCTTAATCCTAGGCCAGGGAGTTTGGGTGTTATTTAGTTGATGTTTAACAGGAGAATGATCTAATAGGTCTACAGCAGCCATCCGCAACCTTTTTGGCACCAAGGACTGGTTTCATGGAAGACAATAATTTCCATGGATGGTGGTGAGGAGGATGGTTTTGGGATGAAACTGCTACCTCAGATCGTCAGGCAATAGATTCTTATGAGGAGCACACAGGAGGCAGAGCTCAGGCGGTAATGCTCCCATGCTTGCAGCTCACCTCCCGCTGTGCGGCCCAGTCCCTACAAGTCCACAGGCCTGTACTAGTCTGTGTCCTGAGGGATGGGACCCCTGGTCTACAGAATAGAGTTGTAAGGAGAGAAAATGGAGGCAACAGTAAGAGTCCTATTTTAAATAGTCTATGCAAGAAGTAATGAAGCATTAAATGCAGCAGCCCCATTGAAAATTGTTTGCAGAGAAAAATTAAGAAAACAGAATAAAGTACATTTGGCAGGTTAAAGTAGAAAATCTAAAGAAGAAATGGTCATCCATCCCATGTATTACCTACTGTGTATTTCAGAAAGTCCTAAATGAACACATTCTATAGGAAAACATGCATCAGTAAGGGCGGTGGGTATCACCAGCAAGATCACACATTTTTCAGATGGTTCAGTGGTTATACTATTAAGTATGGAAAAGGCTGTTTGGAGGAGAAAGGTAACGTTTGATCTTGAGGTTTGAAGAATTACTCAATTCTTCCAGATAATTGGAGAAACACACAACTCTCAACAATATATAAGAAATCAGTGATTAAAGTTCATTCAATCAAAAGTTTGAAAATAAAGAGTTCAGTGATACACTTTTCTTGAAAAACTGTATTTCAGCGTTTTTCTACCTAAAAATCATTCATCTAGCATTATGCTTTTGGCTTAGAAGAGGTTTTCCTAAATTTTAGGAGCCACTTTTAGAATTTCAAAAGCATCTTTTAGTTCGTATTACGTCTTTTGCCTGTCAGTATATCATAATGTACTACTGTCACAGAAAAATTACCTCAGATGATTTGGTTTTAAATTATATAATTTAATTACATACATTTTTTTAATTTAATCATACTGGATCATTTCAGTTACCAATAATACATCTGATATAACAATAATAAAGTTATGTAATATATAAATAAAGTAGCATTTGTCACTTCTAAAACTAAATAACAGACTATGGAAGTCACTTTAGAATGATGGCATAAGACGCTCTGAAAAACTGCTTGTCCATAAAGACAATAAGAACATTAGCAAAAATTGTCAAAATCAAATTTTTTCATGAATCTGGAAATTAATAAAAGGCTTGCAACAATCAATAATCACTCATTCAAGAAAAAGAGTAAATCTTATTATGTCATTTTAATTTGCTTTACTCCAGTCCTACTTTTCTCAGCTCTGTAATAGCACTGAAAATCATCAGCTTAGCAACTACAGCAGCTGACAGTCTAAAAGCCACTGGAGGGGACAGAATGGGTATAAACTTCTTCAAAAAGTGTCTGAGGTAACGAATGTAATAATTACCCTGATGTGATCATTACACTATATATATATAATATATATATATATATATATATATATATATATATATATATATAAACACCATACACTACTTAAAAGAATGTGTCTTTTCTAGAGAACTGTCATTAACTGACCTATATGGAAGCTTTCTGGAAAAGCTCCATTCATAGGGCTTGGGCTTGTCATTAACTGACTTAAAGCTTGCTCAGAAGGAGAAGAAGCCCTATCTCCAGGACATTTGTGAAAAGCAGTCGGTGGCAGGTTTGTAACAGCATATCTGCTGGAGGTGATGATTTAATCTGGGCCAAGTAAAAGGCTAACTCAAAAATCAAAAAGGAAGATCTAGGGAATGGGATGTTTTAAAAGCTCTGGGTTATTGCTGGAAATCTGGAAGGCCATGCCTTTTGAAGTGCTATACACATGCCCAGGAAAGACCTAGGGAATTCTTATCTCCATCCAGTCTCAAGTCTCTGCTCAAACAAGTGAAAGCTAAGTCAGGATTTGACATTGCTGGACCACATAAGGAGTGCCCAAATGTACACATATCTGCTGATCACGAATCTAACCAAGCAAACGCTTAAGTAGCCCACACAACAAAAAGTAATGATTTTGTAGAATTTGTCCTTGAAAATCACTAAACAAAGAGCAAAAACAAACACCTTGGAGAAGGTAGAGAATCTAATTTCCAATATAATCCATTATATTAAAGTTTCCAGCATTCAACAACAACAAAAATAAGATTTTCAAAGAAACAGGAAAGTATGGATCACACTTTTCTATACATAGAAAAAAGTAGTTGACAGAAATTGTTCTTGGGGACTTGCAGACATGGGATTTATTAAACAAAGTTTTTAAATCAGCCATTACAGATATATAGAAAGAAGGAAATCATGTCTAAAGGATTAAGTATGAAATAATTCCTTACTAAATAGAAAATATAAAAAAAGGATCAAAATTATATAAACAGGAACCAAGCAGAAATTCTCAACTTGAAAAGTACAACTGAAATGAAAAATTCACCAGGAGGGTTCAACAGAATATTTGAGCTGGCAGGAGAAATAATCAGTAATTTTGAAGATTTGCCAATTGAGATTTTCCTGTTTGAGAAACAATACAAAAAAAGAAAAAAGAAAAAGGAAAAAAAACCAAACAGAGCCTAAAAGAGCCATGGGACACCATTAAGCATAACAACAGAAGTAAAATGGTAGTACCAAAAAGAGAGAGGAGAAAGAGAAAATGGCAGAAATAACTATTTGAAGGACGAATGGCTGGAAATTTTTTCAGTTGCCTTGATAAATCTGAATGCCTTGCACAAATACAGATAACGAAGTTTGCAATGTGTTGGACCAGATTGTCCATTGAAACCCTAAAATTACTTGTACATAATTCATAATGGTCTCCTACATTTTCTTCAGACTGATCTCTTCTTTTGAAAATATATATGTATAATAAGAAGACATTTATATTTGAAGTCATGGTCTTACAAGTATTTAAGAAGAAATAAACATTAAGCTTCTTTGTCATCTCATCAGATGTGGCATCAGTCTTGTCATTTAGCAAGCTTTGCTGGACAAGAGAAGTTGGAGACGGAATGAAACCAATGATGAGAAAATGCTATAAAAGCTATCTGGAGTATTATGGTTGATCAGCAGTAGATGATGCCTCAGTACAAGGAGAACTAGTGTGCACCTGTTGTTTTTTCTCAGCCTTGATGTTAGGCAGACAAAATAGGTATTTATATAATTATAACACGTCTTATATGACATATTTCCTGTTTAAAGCCATAATAATCTTTCCATAAAAGACCAAGACAGACTGGTGCATTACTTTATCTTTGTCTCTGACTGAGAAATTTTATTGAACTGAGTTTGGCCCCTCTGTAATAATTTCACAGGGCAGTAAGTATATTACTATACGGAGCACATATCAATCGACACAAAACGTATTTTATACAAAACGTATTTTATATCTGTCTCTCCCATAAGACACTGAAATTTGTATTCACCTCTGTATCCCCAGGGCCTAACACAAAACATGAAATATAGAAACTACTTACTAAAATGTTTTATGAATGAATAAATGATGATGGAATAAAGTAACAGAAGGAGATTTCTTTACTCTCTACTTAATAGAGGCCAATTTTAACATCAACCAGGCAGGGAAGTATTACCATTCTTGATTAAACACTGAGATATTTTCTTTTGGTATCCACATATATTAAAATTATAGGAAATGTACAGATACCATACCTCAAGGAATAACAGTGCTAGAACATACTGTATGCTTAACGAATATCTGGTGATTAACTGGCACAGTGGTTTTAGGCGGAAATAACTATAATGTGTCTGCTTTAACAACTTGGATTTATTTAATGACTGCTTATTATCCTGTCATTTCCCTCAGTCTCCACCAAAACAGTAGTGAAGGTGCTCAGATATATATGCAGACCACAGCTAATTTTATAATGACACATTGACACAATTAAAATGCCTAATTTTTTTCTTTATTAGGAAGGGGTGGAAGAGGAGGCTGGTAGAAAGGCAAAACATAAAGGCTGAAGCTTAAGAAACAATGAACTCATATCCATATTTTTAAAGTCAAATGCTTTATACACAAGAATTAAAAATCAAAGACATTTAAATGTGACTTGAAGAAGTAATACTGTATCGAATCTAAAAATGCTCAACAACTTCAAAGATTCTTACACACATTGGCACTTAGCCCTGGCAATTACATTTTGCAGAATCCATACTTTTAAAGCATAGATTTATTTATTCTAGAAAAAAAACAACTGTAAAATAAAATGCCTCTTACCTCATATACGTTGAATTGTGATTGGCCTCTAGAAAGTTCCCTATAGCTTGTTGTAAATTCCCCAATGAAATCATGACTAAAATTAAAGGAAAAAAGTACATAATATTAGCTTTCATTTTTTTTTCTTTTTCTTTTCTTTTTTTTTTTTTTAATAGAGACGGGGTTTCACCACGTTGACCAGGATGGTCTCGATCTCTTGACCTCGTGATCCACCCGCCTCAGCCTCCCAAAGTGCTGGGATTACAGGCTTGAGCCACCGCGCCCGGCCCCAGCTTTCATATATTTTTCAATTGTATTTTAGAGTTTTCAGAAAAGTTTAATCATAAAAAATACTTGATATTATTATGAATATAACAATAACTTATAAGATATTTAAAAGGACTAATACATAATTACATATTCATCAATCTAAAATTATGTATACTGAACAATTATATTTTCTTAATATTCAAATGTTTATTCCACCAGTATTAGCATTTCAAACAGGTATACTAGTTTTAATAACTGATATCTCAAAACAGTTAAATCATCTGTTATTCAACTGATTAATTAGGATGAAAGTTAGAAACTATACTAATAAATTTATTATTGTCCGTATCAATGAATATCTATTTTTAAAATATAATATTTAAAAAATCTTCAAACTTTCCTATGGCCAGAGTATACTAGGATGCTATTTTTTAAAAGCATAACATATTAACATGAATATTAGTCACTAAACTTTCTTTTCTATATTAATAGTTAATAAATATTTTATCAGTACCAACATGTTAATTCAGATTTCTTCACCTTAAAGTGATCATCACTACCTTCTCAAGTGCATTCTTAGTTTAGGTGAGGAGGGGTAAGGATTGAGTAAACATGTATTAGTTCTCACTAAAAAGCTTTATCAACTGAGTTTGACCTGTGCAAATACAAAAAACATGCTAAGCATTCGGCAGTTTAGAGCAGACTCTTGTTCTACTGCTTCGAGTTAATTTAATGGCCAATGCTAAGTTGAACACCTACTGCTGAGAAGTAAGTGCCAAAATACTGGTATTCAGTGCAATGGTGAAATGTAATATGTTAGAAAAAGATACAGATTGTAGGAGCTAAAGTAGCATAACAAACATAAAAGATGTCACAGAGGCCATTTGTATAATAGAATTTAAGTTCTGTCAATTTGTTTGGCAAATGCAAGCTATTCCACACCATAAAAATGAATGTTCCCTCAAATCCCATCCAATTTAATATTTAGCCGTGAATCACTTAAAATCCATGAAACTTTCACGGATCTGGCAATCAGCAACAAGCAATACACAAGTTGTGTTTAACCAATGAATATACTGATTGTTAAAGACTAAATATGGCAGGCTAAAAAAGCTAGCTGCCATTGATTTTAGTAGACTTTTTACAGTAAAAAGAAAATTTTTAAAAGAGCTTATTTGAGATAAAACTCATGTAAGTATCCAGTCCTCTATTCTGCCTAGAATCCCTTGTATATATTAATATATCATAGTATTTTATGTGAAACATTACTCTTTGTATCACATTGACCTCTTCTAGATTTAAATTTCAGAAGCAGATTAGTATGAATATGTGAAAAGCAAAGAGAATTGTAGGCTGTGACATATTCCTATTTATGAACCCAGACATCTAGAACTTGCTTTCAAGTTACCCAGGAAAAAAAATCACAAAACAGCACTTCAGTGTTACACAGTAATTTTGTAGTAGTACAATTCATACGAAATCTGGTAACACTGGTTTAATAAGAACAAATAAAATAATTATCTTTGACCTTCAAAAGTGTAAGCTATTTCATGATTTATTTCACTGCAATCTTAAAATTCTCTGAGTTAGGAAGGTTTTGTTTAGAACGCATCCTCCTCCATTCTTATGCAAGTTTCAGGTATCTTAATAACCACTGAGATAAAAGGTTCTATTAGAGCACTTCGAACACAACCTTTTGATATCGATGGGTATAGAAGAGCCTTATATAAACAGGGCTCACCAAAGCAGTGGTAGGAACCTAATATAGGGGCCTTAAAAATGCCTGAATCACTTAAGCCTTTATGATCATTTTCTGATGGCGCCAAACTTACCCATGCTTGGTTAATTATTTCAATCCACTGTTCAACTCTTAATTGTTAACACTTAAATTCCTGCCACACAATGCTTATCAAAAACATTGCAGAAAGAAGTGATAATTCACTGGTCTCAAGTAAATCCAATTTCTCATCCATCTGGATAAAGTCAGTCTGACAGAATAACAAACCTAGACCCAACTGCAATGGTCAAGTTTACCAAACTACACATTGATATGCCTGTGTTGAAGTTATTGGGAAACTTTAAAAGAAGCAGTTCTTTGATATTTGGTTCTCTTTTGTGCTAGTTAAATTTGTAAATGTCTACAGAATTGAGTAATGAACAACAGGTATAGGACAATCTCTTTGGTATCAGGACTAGGAATCTTGCGTCCTGCCCACTTAAGCTTTCTGCTCTGAAAGGACCCTGTTTATCATGAAAGGGAGAGAGCTTTCTCCTCTGCATTAGTGGTTAGAGAGCTTACAGCTAAAGTCTCTAGCAAGACATGTCTTTGTGACCTGCTGTCCCCTGAAGACTTTTCAGATTTCTCACCCTATATTATCCCTTGGTTTCCATGTCCCCAGCCAGTTTAGTTTACTCTCATAGTACAAGCATCTCTATAAGTTTTCTTGGATCCTTTTCAGAAGAAGATAGGACATACATAAATACAACAATGAATAAAATGTTAGTCCCGCTTTCTAAATCTTGTTCAAGACGATTATTTTGAATAAAACACTGAATTTACATGTCATGTAAATGCAATGCTATCCATGTATTGTAGGACAAAGTATGTTGATCACATATTGCATTTCGGCCTCCAACACAACATTTCTGTAAGACTAAGAAAATATATTGTTGTATCCATTCAGCATCTAGAGAAGTAGATGATCCAGAAGTGAGGATTTACCAAAAGTCATAAACATAAGGCAATATATGGAGATAACAATAAAATAGCCAACCCTAGATATAAGATGTCTAGTCTCAAGAATATATATCTGAAGAATCTGGGTAGATAAGTGGATAGATTCTCAGGCCAATTTTGTTACAGATCTCTTTGAATACATGGATATTTTTATAATTTTCAACCTTTATAAGCTGTCTGACCTCAAACACTGTATTTTAAATCACACATAAGTACTCTAAAGAGAACATTAAAGGTACTGTTCACTGATTTTTATTATCTTTTACCCTATCATCAACTATTCCTAGATTTTGCTAAGATTAAAAAAATACAATGTACTTTAATATTTTATCTGTTCATGATGCTCAATACTATAATATTGAAACAACTGTCACTATCTTGAAAAACTTTGATGATGAAAAATACTTTGATAATAAATCACAACCAATAATTTCCTTGTGATTCAATAATACTGTTTTGCTATTTCCTGTTAATTTAATTCTAACTAAAATAATTACTCTATGTTATAAGTCCCAAGCTCTCTGACTGCATTTACAAAATAAAGTTTACTCCAGTGCCATTTATCTGGCTTGTGTCTGTTTACATCTCGATTTTTTCCCATACCTTTTATTACATATATTTGTTATTTAAAGTTTGAGGGGATGAATTCAAGAGGCATTTTGAGCAAATTGATTACTACTATAGCTAGTAATTTGGCTTTAAAAGTCCTTAAGTGATTTAACTGTTTAATAAAATCTGTTTATTATGATCATTTCTATGCTTCATTAATAGCGGGGAAATGGTCTTATGCATAGTCACATTTATACCTGAAACCTGTAGGACAGTCTATAAACTTATCCATTCTCCCCTACTTTTAGTATATTACTCCCCTATATCACTTATCTTTTACTCTACAGCTCAGCTATGATCTCCTCCAAGAAGGCTTTTCTGCTTCATTCCCATCTTTTTTGCTCTCAAAAACATAAAACAAGCAAACAAACAACCAGTATCTCTCATCACACTTCCTATATTGTGTTAAACCCATCTATTCATGTATTGCCTTTCTTCACCTATGTTTTCAAGGCAAGAAAGGTGATAACTTCATCTCAGGATTCCCAGCATCCCCCTCCATAGCTGCTACACAATTGGCACAGCTGAATGTTGCAAACATACTTAGGGCAATAGCGCAGTCATGCTGTGATGTTACCTTGCCAGTGATATTAAAAACTTTGCCTCACATCAACTATATTCAGCCAAAAAGAATGGCACAGGTGCCAATCAGAATAAACACATTAACCTTCTCTATCAGCTTAAAACAACTCTGGAAGTAATGCAGACAACTATGATTTCCCATGAAAATGCCTCCACATAATTACAACAAAGCTATATAAAAAAGAGAATATTGCCTTTTTTTTGGTACATCTGAATATTTTCCTGAAGGCTGCCTTTCAATAGATAATTCTTATTTTCCTGACATTTATCTTATTTTGCATATAACACCTAACCCATCTCATCTGTTTCTCTACCACCATGTTGTCTTGAGTCAGTCAGTCGACCTCAGGGTCCGTTAAGTCTTTACCTCAAAATTGGAGGTAATGCCTACTTTCTATTTCAAACATCAGCCCAGAGAATTCATTTGATTCTTTCTATGAAAGGCATCTAATTTATCAAAAATACACTTCTAGAATAAAATCGAATTAGGAAGACTATAATTCCAGACATGTATACATTTTGTCAATAAACAAACTCTACTCAAAATAATTTGTGAAGAAGTAATAGGCTTCTTAATGGATGTGTGTTGTATCACAATATTTTGGAGTTACATATACATGTGGCTTGTATCACTCTCACGCAGGTATGTTTAACTCACAAGGCACATATCTCTCCTTTGAAGTATACCACAGTGTGACATGTTTCAGGTATGTATCAAAGGATATCTCAAATGAGGATTTGTAAACAAATTGTATATGAAAGACAATTTCTCTAATTTGGATGCTGAAGGGATTTTGGAACAAAAATTGGCATGATCTTACTTATGGGAACCACGTCCTCAGTTTTTGTCTCTCATTTGTACTATAGCGCAGTGATTTCCCATGTTTTCCTGTCTGCAA